TTTTATTTTAATGAATTGTTTTTCTCTGTTTGTAACTTTTGTGCAGAGGGGCTGAGACAAGGATTGGGACTCATTAGAGTCATTCTGGGATGTGGACAATTCTAAATGTAAAGTGACAGATGAACACCGTCATTGCTGAGACTGAGCTGAGGGTGAGCAGGTCCTCACTGATGTGTGTGCGCGTCCTCATGAGCATGCACAGGCCTGAGTGCAGTGCTTTTAGCTGGACTTGCCTGGAAGAAGATGGAATTCTGCTTTTGTGTCAAGATTTCATAACTTCTCTGAGAATATTTCTGCTATAAACCCGGGACCAAAAACCATATCTAACCCGCTGGCGCATTGAAGCTCAAATTTCCCCAAATAGAGATTTATTAGTTGGCTATGAAATCTATCATCCTTAATACACAAAAGCCCCTGGTTAGGGATGTAGAAGGCAAGTTGCCACGCAAAACTTTATTAGTCTCTATATTAATAAAATCCCTTCCTGAAAACTGTTGTGACAGTGTGTTTAGTTTAGAGGAGCCAGGACTGGTGTCTGAGGACAAAATTTTGTGTCATGATAAACATACATTAAGTACCTTGTGATTACTTAGAAAGCTCAGCAAAGCTCCCTTGTCCATACAAAATTTGGATTGGACAGATCAGGGTTTGACTCAAGATTCTGGAATCTGTTAGCTACGTGTGCTCATCACTTTTAAAGTGGAGATTAACGGGTCTAATTTATGAGGTTGACGTGAGAAATAAATGAGATAAAATCTTTGTACATTGTTGGATCCTTGATGTCTCTATTAGGGTGCTGGGTCAGATACAGTGTTTTGTACACAGTAAGTGCTCAATACAAGGTAGCATATTTTTTCCCACGTGCTTTGCCGTTAATCATGCTTAAAAAATGTAACCATAATGAATGAATAGGTAATTAAAAGCCACATGAAACATTATCAAGGGTGTAAACAAATCAAATATTTCTTCTTCCTTAGGGAAGATGGGCTCTAGGCAGTGGCCCCGAGGGAGCCTCTATAACTAGCTCACTGAGGTCTCTAATCTGGAATAAAACTCTTTAGTCTCCTGTTATCCAACATGTTAGGAAAAGATCCTGTCTCATCCTTGAAAGCTGGACAGGAACCTCAGGGCAGAGCCACAATCAGAGTTCTTCAGCTCAGCAAGAGAACCAAGATAAACTAGATGTTTTGATTCTCAAAGTGGACAAGCAGAAGCAGAGGGATCTGAGCTCCAAGCTGTCACCTTTTCAGCAGGGCTATTTGCGTCTCCATGAAAGAGATGGATGGATGAGAGGCAGTAGACACAGCACTGTGGCTCCAAGGTGAAGGGGGTGAGTTCCCGCCTGCCCCGCTGGGTGCTGCAGCAGAGAGGCTAAAAGCTCAACCCAGGGGAGCCAGCCCGCCTGAGTCCACCTGCTGCTGCAACTCGGTAGCTTTGGGACTTTGTGCAAGTTGCTTAGCCCAGTGTCCTCATCTGTAGAATGAGGATAGTCATTATGCCACATGACATTTAGATGTATTCAGTAAATGTTTCTCTTCTTTTTTCTTAGCTTTTAATGAATGACTTTACATAATAATATCATATAATAACTCCATAACCACACCAGCTAAAGACTCTGGGCAACACAACCTCATCTTCCTGCTCTATCTAAGAGGACAGGACCCAATGCGGAAGGTCTGGGCAAGGTCAAGTGGCTTCTGCCTCTCAAAAATCACTCCAGAGAAGGGGCCCAGGTCTTACCCACCTGATTAAGGGCCGTAGAGGGAAGCAAGTACACAGGAGAAGGCCATGGTAAGGGTTGGAGGGTTGTCCCAGCTCAACTAGAGGACCGTCTCCTCAGCCGTACCAGCCTTCACTCTGCAGGCAGACTTCATCCTCAGACAGTTACTGGGATGGTTAAAGCCACTTGGGGGACTATGAAGACAAAGGTATAAGGAAATATCTTCCCGAAGTTCAAAAACTGTGTTCCTATGTCATTCTCAAGAATTGGAGGATTCTCTCTCTCTCTCTCTCAGGGACTCTTTCTTTTTCCCTCGCAGACCCTCCTAGAAGAAAATGGCTGCTGAGAACTCCTCTTCTGTGACAGAGTTTATCCTCTCAGGCTTAACCAACCAGCAGGAACTCCAGATCCCTCTCTTCTTCCTGTTTCTGGGTTTCTATGTGGTCACTGTGGTGGGGAACCTGGGCTTGATAATCCTGATTGGGCTGAACTCTCACCTGCATATTCCCATGTACTTCTTCCTCTTCAACTTGTCCTTCATAGATTTTAGTTTCTCTGCTGCCATCATTCCCAAAATGCTGATGAGTTTTGTCTCAAAGAACATCATTTCCTATGCAGGGTGTATGACTCAGCTCTTCTTCTTTTGTTTCTTTGTCTTTTCTGAGTCTTTCATCCTGTCAGCGATGGCGTATGACCGCTATGTCGCCATCTGTAACCCACTGTTGTACGTGGTCTCCATGTCTCCCCAGGTGTGTTTGCTCCTTTTGTCAGGTGTCTATGGGATGGGGGTTTTGGGGGCTCTGGCCCATACAGGAAATATACTGTTTCTGACCTTTTGTGCAGACAACCTTATCAATCATTATATGTGTGATATCCTTCCTCTCCTTGAGCTGTCCTGCAACGGCTCTTACATAAATGTACTGGTGGTCGTCATTGTTGTGGCCATTGGCATTGGGGTGCCCATTGTTGCCATTTTTATTTCTTATGGTTTTATTCTTTCCAGCGTTCTTCATATCAGCTCCACTGAGGGCAGGTCCAAAGCCTTTGGTACTTGCAGTTCCCATATAATTGCAGTTTCTCTTTTCTTTGGGTCAGGAGCTTTTATGTATCTCAGACCACCTTCTGTTTTACCCCTGGACCAGGGGAAAGTGTCGTCCCTGTTCTATACCATTGTTGTGCCCATGTTCAACCCTTTAATCTATAGCCTGAGGAATAAGGATGTCAAACTTGCCCTGAAGAGGACCTCGGGCAGAATAAGCTTCTCTTGAAAAAAATTTTAGAAATGGAGAAAAGAGATCCAAGGATTTTTTATTGGTGTTTTTATTATGATTATTACTTTTCAAAATGAGGAATCCCAGCTACAGTGCTTTCTATACTATATGTAAGGTAAATCTTAACTTTTTTCCGAGTGAATTTATTCTCCCCTACCCTGACCCCCAACCCTTCCTTTTTTATTTTATGAAAAAGTTTCTATAATTATGAAATATTTAATGCTAAATGGGGCTTAGGAATCATTTCATACAGTCCCTTTATATAATAAATCATACTTTGGAGACTCGGAAATATTTGCATGTTGCCCAAGAACACAAAACTGCCTGGTACAGAGCTGGGACTAGAATCCCAGCTTGAATCCCAATCCACTTTATTTTCCTTTATGCCATGTGTTCTTGCCTCATCTCTTTCTTGGGAAATTTCATTTCACATGTTAGTTGACATAACACATTTAAGTTATGAATATATTCACAGTAATTTCATGCCATTTTTCACAGAATAATTTTAATATATCACATTTTGCAAGAACTCAGGAGGTGAAACTTTTTTTTGAGGTGGTCTTGGCAAAATGACAAGATCAGCATTTGATGCGTTTTGTAGTGTGTAGGCGGGAAGTGTGTTAGGTTTCATATAGAAGCAAGAATGGTGCATACTGATTTGGTGGGTGGAGCCCTACAGAAACAGTCTAGTCAGTGGACTAGAACTACCAAGGGAGAGAGAGAATTTTAAGGTGGGTAAAGATTCTGTGTGGAGGTGTCATATATTATTTTAAGATGAACAGAGACAGCATTTGAAGTCTCATTTGAAGGGTTAACTTGGGTGTTAGAGATCTGATGGGGAAGTGTGTAGTTCAAGGTGGTTGGGAGCTGCACTATACCTTAGAGTAGTCACTAGCCACATATGGCTATTGAGCACTTGAAATGCAATCATTCATATTGAGACATACTATAAGTGTGCAATGTAAGTGTAAGACACACATCGGATATTTGAAGAATTATTATAAA